CCTCCTTGCCTTTGTCTTGCCTCAGCTCCTCCTTCCTCCTCTCCCTGCCTAGTGCTCTCCTTTCTTCTCAATCCTGCTTTCCTTGCTGGCTCTTTCTGCTCTACCGCATCTGGTGCTTTGCTGGAGTATTAGAGGCAGCTTCTCAAACTGGGCCTGAAAACACACAGGCTGAACATCTAAGGCCCTTAGAAAGACAGCCAACCACTCTGTCCCGCACGATACAAGAGCCTTCTGCCCCCAGCCCAGCAGCACTTCCCTCCCCACTGCCACACTGGCCATCAGCTGTTTAATTAATGACTCCTAGGGCAGATCCCCCCACATTCCCATGGACAGGCTGCCCCCAGGCTTGGAGCCATTAGCCAAAGCAGCTGCCATCTGCTCAGACCCAGTCCCCACCTCCGAGGGTGATCCCCAGCTGTGTTTTTAAATCCTCCCAGTTTGAGTACCCAGAGAGGAATCAATTTCTGACCTCGGCCTCCCCCTCAAACATCTCGAGCCCTGAGCAAGAAAGCTTCCCTCCTCGCCTCCACTCATTGATTCTACATGTTCTGGCTTGAAATCCAGAAGAAATATGACTCGCCGGGGGCCAGGAGGGCACCGTCCCTCTTTTTATTGCTTTAAACATGTTCGTGCCACGCTCTGAGCGCGGCCTTAAATCTATCATCAGCTCCCAAGCAGCTGGAGTTGTCAGCTCCAGACTTCACATTGCAAACCCATCAATGCCAGAACACAGGGCAATGGCTTTCTTTGCCGGCCGTGGAGGCAAGGGCCTGGGGAAGGGGTCTGGCTCCAATTAGGGCACCGTGGTAACACGCAGAAATACCTCTCCCGTGCAGGTGACTAAGCAAGCCGCATCGCGGAAAGTGTGGTTGGGGGATTAGCGTCTGCGGGACTCGTTTGCTGCGCTCGTAAATCTCGATCCTGTTGACTTGGTCCGAGAATCACTCGGCCCCACCGCTTCTTCTGCTGCACGGTCAAACCTGCCTTCCCTTGAGCAGCTCTTGGCTTTGCACTGTCCGGAGGCCTGCCCCCATTTAACGGATGGGGAAACTGAGGCACAGCGAGGTTAAGTGGGCCGGCTGCACGCAGCAAATTGGAAGCAGACGTGCCAAAAGGACTCAGGAGGTCCTGGCTCTTCCTGTGAGACGCCGTTCCCCTCCCAGCACCAGGTGCCGTGACTCCCAGCCCCTGGCTCTCCCCGCTACACCCCTCCACGGGAACGGCAGGGGTTCATGGGCTGGATCCGGCCCTGTTGCAGAGCGAGTGGGTTCTGTGGGAGACGCCGGTGCCCAATTCCTCCCTCCATCATTCAGAGCAGGGTGAGGGGTTCCCGGGGCCTGCCTATCCACTCTCCCATGCAAGCGGGCTCAGCGAGACACCCAACCCTACAGCGAGTCGCAGGAGCGTCCCCACTAAAACGTCAGCTCCTAATAAACGCGCTCCAGACCAAAATGGAGATGTACCCTAGCGAGGAGCTGACAGAAAGCTTCCTGCAGGATCCTGGCAGCCAGCCCAGGCTTAGGTACGTTGAATGGGGCTGTACAGGGAAGGTCCAGGCTCCTACCAGTCAGGCCGGAGGTGCATTGGCAGAGCCGTGCCTCGGGAGCCCAGGTCTGGGATGGCACGGCTGGGCCCCGAGCCAGGACTGCGGTATGCTGGCAAGGCTGTCTGCACAAACCAACCGTGCCCGGTCTGCTCCAAACCCATCCCTACCTTCGCTTGCCCATTTCAGAGCAGTAAGACAGGGTTGCCGCTCTGTCTGGGGCTCGTCTCCGTCCCCTCTCCCTCCTGACTCTGGATTTGCATCTCTCTTTTGGGCAGCTCCAGTTTCCAGCACAGAAAGGGCTCTCTGTTCAGGTCCCTTTTTTCCTTTTCCCAGCGATTGTTATGTTAAAATCCCCAGGACATGTATCTGCGAAGAATTAAAAGAGGGCGAGGAAGAGATTGTTTTCGTTGGTGTCTCACTAAGTCTCTGACCTTGAGCGTGAATAGAAAACAAGAAAAAAGGGACTTTATGCTAATATCACTCGCTAAGCACAAGGGGGAAAAATAATAACGGCAAACGAAGATTATGAATGCAAATCAACTTAATAAAGCGATAGGGGCTGGGCGGGAGCCTTGTTTTGCTTGGTTACAAAAACCGCTTGCATTGTCTGGCTCTGCTGCACCCTAACTCTGATTACAAATTATAGCCAGGGAGCTTTAACGAGGAACCAAGGTTTCACTTTCTCTCTTTCTGTCCTTTCTCAGGGATAGTGGGGGCCACTGGGTAGAGCCCAAGATGAGGAGTCTGGAGACTGGGTCCTACTCCCTAGTCCAGAGATTTATTAGGTGAAATGCTGCCCTGACTCTCCGCAGAGCAAGATTTTGCCTGCTGACATTCAGACTGTCGTGATCCCCGAGTCGCACCTGCAAAACTCAGCCCAGAGATCGTCTTACATGACCGGGTCTTCGCACAGGGTCATCAGATCATAGAAAACAAGGGTTGGAAAGGAGCTCAGGAGGTCACGTCTAGTCCAAACCCTGCTCCAAGCAGGACCAGCCCTAAGTACATCATCCCAGCCAAGGCTTTGTCTACCCAGGGCTTGAAAACCTCCAAGGATGGAGACTGCACCACCTCTCTGGGTGACCTGTCCCAGCACTTCACCACCCTCCTCACGAAAAAGTTTTCCTAAACCTCCCTTGCTGCAATTTGAGCCCATTGCTCCCTTTTTTTGTCGCCTGCCACCACTGAGAACAGCCCAGCTCCAGGGACTCCGTCCTTCACATTGCATTTATGCAGCACCTAGCACCAGCGGGTTCTGGCCAGGGTTTGGGACACTGAGGCATGAATGTCATCCACGTCACAGTCGTGTCTCACCATGCACCTCCTGCACTGAGCCTGTAACTTCTAGAGAAGCTGCAGCACCTCTTCTGGAAAAATACCTAGTCCCTGATTAAATTACTTTGGAGCGCACGCGCTGGTGTAAAGGCAGGGAAGCCACAGTGAAACGGCAGGGCCGTCTGCAGCCTGGAGCTTTGGGGCCAGGCTCTGTTCCAGTCTCGCTCTCAAACCCACCTGCCCCGCAGCTAAAACACTCCCAGGGAAGTTGCATTTTCTCGGGTGAGGTTTTTCGCTCGTCTTAACACTGGTATCTCAGGAGCGGGGACACCTCAAAGCTGTGCTCAGCTCTCCAGGCTACCCGAGGTCCGCGTGCTGATGGCAGACCTCCACGGAAACCCAGGTGCAGCAGGAAAAGGTGCCAGGGGCTCTGTACCGGGTGCTGTGTCCTCCAAGTCCCTGGAGCGGAGAGCTCAGGGCAGACAACACGGTGCTGCTGGAGGCTGGGAACAACTCTCCTCCGCCTGACACAGCCGTGGATCAAGCTCCGCTCCAGGTCCATCTATGGCATTAAAATGACACAGAAGAGGAATCAGGCCCACTTCAGCTCATAGCAGAGGCCCTGCTCACTTAGACCCCCCCCCGCCAAGTGGGTAAGTACCCACAGATAAATGCACCTGACCCAGGGCCCCGGGCAAACCCCTTGTGACTGCCGACATGCCACGGCTTTAGCCCTCTGCAAGGAGCTAAAATAAATCAGGGTAGTCCTCACTCTTGCTCCAGGCTGCCTGCAGACTCAGGCAGGCCTCGGTGCGAGTCAGGCGATGCTTTGCACCCCGGAGATCTAACAAAACAGGGACCCTGCAATGACGCGGTCCCCGCCATGGGGCCAGAGAGCCTTGGCACGGCCCTAGATCCAATACCCCCTGCCCCACGCCCGCCAGCCCCACCATCAAGCCTGTCGGGTGGCTTCACGCGGCACAAACCGAAGCCCGTGCTCTCCTCCCTCCCCCCCTCAAACAACATACACAAGAGAGTGCAGCTCTTTAATCTCCAGCAAGCCTTTGACAACCTGTCTCATCCTGGCTTTTAGCTGCGTGAGAGCTGCTCACTAATGGAGCATTAACCTTGGAGAGCTTCTGCAATTACTCCAACACTAATTCTGACAGTTTTTGGTGTATCTGTTTGTTCTTTTGACAGGCAAAAGGAATTTCTCTTTAAAAGCTGTTTGATACGTTTGAGACCTTCTGTCCACAGTTTCTTTTTCTGCCAGAGCGCTGGAGCAGGGGGCGGGGGGGGGGAGAAGGAGCCGAGACGCAGAGAGACCGTCTTCCTGCAGATATTGCTGTACGGGCAGAAGTCAAGACAGTCCCCTGCTTCCCAGCCCACCCCCCACTTTTTAAGTGACAGAAGCGTTTGGTCTCTCCTGACCTCATTAGGGTAATTAGCAAACCTTTTGAAGCTGGGAGAACGGCTTTGAGCGGTGGGAAAACAAGGGGAGCAGAGTGCCTGTAAAAACCGCGTTGGGGGAAAGAGGTGAAATAACCAGCGTCGGGCACGCTAAAGGTGACCAAGGACAGGGAAGGGGGTGGGGGGGGGACCAGGAACATGCTCAGGCTTTTTGGTCCCTTCTCTCGTTGGGGCCAATGATGTTGGAAAGGACAAAGTCCTGCTGGGTCTGGACTGAGAAGGGAAATGGTTTTATTCACCGTAAGCAAAACCATCTTCACCGACTGGGACTCGGTCAAGGATGCAGCATCCCCTCTGCTTCTAATAAATGCCATGCACCTTTCCAAGTCAACTACAATGCACCCCCCCGATGATGAATGGGAAGATGGGACTTGACAATCCCTGGGTGCTCCGTGCTGGGGGGGGACCCCTAAAATCTGCCACCCTTCAGGCTTTTCCTCACACACCACGACGACGGGCACGAGCCCGACCCCAGTCCCCTGCGGAAGAAACCCTGAGCGCTCGGAAGAAAAGGAGATTGCAAGGGAAGGGAACAGCCCCGGGAATTGGAAGCGACAGACCCCCAATCCTGCTGCACCTTCGAGGTGCTGATCAATCCTTCGGCTACAAGGCCACCAAGACCCACCGTGCCTCCCAGGCGCCAGCTCGCTGCAGCTCCTGTGCTGTCTTTAAGGCTTTGGAGGCAATGATCGTGGGCCTGATTTCCTACCTGTATCCAAGCATCGCCGGCAAAGTCACGCAAACAGATGCGTTCCAGATCAGACCCTCCATCACTCCCCACTTGCCCAGCGTTCACCACAATGGGGTACTGGTATTAATAAGGGCAAAAATAGGTCATCTGCGCCGTTCGGAGCAGGAAGCATTCGTTCTCAAGAAGCACTGCAGTCAGCAGGCCCTTAACGTGGCCGTGCAGAGTACTTCAGTCACCTCCAAAAATTGTTTCATGACAACCTTCCTGCAGCCTCGGAGCCGAGGGAGAGATTTGGAGGCGAGAACCCTGCCGCGGCTTTGAATGCAAGCAAAAGATTTAAATGTGACACGCGCCAAAGGGAAGTGCTTAACTAGAGCCCGGGCTGGCTTTAAAGGGCTGTATTTGTGTGACATGGAGCCAGGTGATGAGATGAGCAGTGCTTCTGCTGGCAGCAGGTGTGTGCCGAGAAGGATTTAAGCAAGTGCCTTGGAGACCCCCCAACAGCAAGAACGCTGCCCGCTCCAGACATGCCGAATGTCTGCGCAACCGCCTGCAAGGGAAGATTTGCGTGTGCAAACATCTTGCTTCGCTGGGGGAAGAGCATCGCATCCTTTGCAACAAGATATCCTTGGAGGAGTCACGGCTTTGAAAGACAGGCAAGCGAAACGGCAGCTTCGACTCTACCTGGGGTTCAGACAAGATCAGCTCTCACCGCGGCACCTGGACACCTTCCACGCAAACAAAAATCCCCAATTCCTGACCTGCATCAGTGATGCCAGGACATAGTATAGCAGATACCCACGGTCTAGAGATGCTCTTTTGCCCCGTACTGTCCGTGTGAAGACCACGGAGCATTTTGATGGCTTCAGCTGGGCAGATGTCCGACTGCGGGGCGTTCATGACCGAGGCGTTGTACAGAGGGATGTGATGACGTCTCCATGGGCTGGAGGATCCAAGTCAAAACGGCAGATCTTTCTAAAAGACATCTTTTAGTTTAACTGCAAATTTGGGGGCTCAGAACGGATTGCTTCCTGGCCTGTTTTGTAGGAGGTCAGACTAGCAAATAGGAACGGTCCCTTCCGGCCTTGCAGAGTTTGATTTTCTGGCTTGCACTAGCAGGTTACAATGCTTCGGGAGCAAAGAGCAGTGTCAATGACCAAACAGCTACTGGGTCGACACAGCATGTCCAGCCCAGGGTTGTGCATTCATTTCATTAGCTCAATTTACAGACCGATTTCAGTGAATGTGAACCCAGCCCTGCAGCTGTGGGGCTGGCCCGAGCCTGGACGCAGCCCCCAAGCAGCAAACGGGGCCTGGACGGGCACAGCTGCCTGCCCGCAGGCACGACCTTGCAGGAATGTGGCCCAATTCTTTCATTACCAGAGCCAACAAAGTCCCCGTGGATTAAACCAGGCTTCTGGTTCCAGTTTGCTACTGGCTTTCACCTTCTGGGTGCACTGAAGGTTTATTCTCTCAACAGGCATCTCGGACGTGGGCTTCAGCTCGTGCCTTTGATCTGGCAATGTAAGAAACAAAATACTAAAGTGTAACATCTGAGGCCTTCATCTCCGGTTTAATTTTCGGGACACCTTCTCCCTCCTGCACACACGCGCGCACACATTAGCATGCATCAAAAGTGCCGTGTCCCCTTTAATGTTTACTCATCCTGAGATTGCAAAAATTGTTGTGTGAATTCCTTCTTTAATTAGTTCTGGCACTCAAAAAAATATTGTTCGGTTGCCTGTACAGTTATGATCATTTCTCGCCTTTATACCTTTATTCCCTAGTGTGACTTGAAAAGAAAAAAAGCTTCCCCATTCTCCCTCGCAAAACCCCTGGCTTTAGAATTTTTTTAAAACAAAAACAACCACTATTTCTAAAGGAAGGTCCTTTGTGGATGAAGTGCCACTTCCATTCACCTTTCCAGCTTGTAAGGAAGAAAACAAAGATCAGAAGGAGGATTTAGACAAAAAAAACCCAACTAAGTAAAGCTAATTTTTTATACAGAGAAGTCTTGCTAGGTATAGAGAGGGGCTTTGTTGAGCGGTACAGAAGAGACATCAGAGGAGAATCTACAGCAGGCTTTAAAATACTTCCAGCTATCCTCGCGCCGGAGAGGAATGTGCAGTCTGTGTTGCAAAGTAAATACAGAGCTAAAATTTCAGAGCAGTTTCCATACCCAGAGTTCATTGCAGAAGCAAATCTGCCGCCTTGTTTGCAGCTGCACGCTGCGTGCACCGAACTACCCCAAACACCGCAGTACACACGTTAGCGTGTAGCCCCCTGCGTGTGGGGCCTGACACGCAGCAGAAAAGCATCCAGGAGCAAAACGGTGGGCACAAATGTACACACTGCATGTGAAACCACAGCCTGGCCTCACTCTGCCTCTGGTGCTTCCCTTGCCCAGAGTCAAACCAGGCTCCGATCTGCTGCGGGACAACGCTAGGACTGCAATGGATAGGGCAGCTGGATTGCAAGCTGGCAGACTCGGGCTTTATTACCGCCCCTGACCTGACCCGGGATGGCTCTTGGCTTCATCTTTTATAGTATAATGATGATGTTAACCTCCCTGATAAAAAACTCGGACATCGAGGAAGGAAAAGGCCTTTGTAATGCTATTGTTGCTGTAGGCATTTACTGGGGCAAATGCAGCGTTCACCCGTGCATTGAAGGGCAGTGCTCTCAGTCCTTTCCCTTCAAAGCCCAGCACTCGGTACATCACCACGGCGGTGGGCAATATCACAGCATCTCTCTGCTCTGGGTGAAAGACCAGCAGTTGGCCTCTAGCCCTGTTTGTCACGACGGCTATTTTGTGAATCTCATAGCATCGTCGAAAGTTACCCCGACCCTCGCAGCAGCGGACAGACCAGGGGAAAGCTGGGAGAATGCACCAGATAGCGAATGGCCCCCAGGTCCTACTTGGAGCAGAGAAATTTGCCTTCAGAGCTTAACGCGTGTTAAAATGAATCCTGGGCAGACACCCACTGGCTTGCGTCCGAGCAGACTCCCCAGCCAGACCAGCTCAGACAGCACCGCCCTGCCCCTCGTCTCAGCCAGGAAGATCGCTCAGGCTTTCGGTGTCTCTAAGGGTTTGGGGGAGGAAGGGCGTTCTCTTCTTTCTTGCTTCTTAAGGCTGGGCTGATGATGGCACGTTACAGGAGCGATGGCTTTTCTGGGACAGGGTTGCACGCAGATGCCGAAGGACTGGAATGGGATTAAAAATATGCAATGTTGACACTTCCATTTGGGTTCCTATCCCACCCTCTCTGCTGCTGTACCAAGCACCTTTCATCCATGCACAAACCCGCTACTGTCTCCATCATGCTCAGTTCTTCCTGACCCCAAGGGAGACCTGTGCAGACGAGGTGTTGTGTATTGGTTACGTACAACGGCGCTCCTGTGTGTCGCTGGAAGAAGCCAGAGAAACGCACCTGGCATTGAGAGCGGAAGATAGAGGCATGGGCTAGCTCTTAGTTCCTGCTAAAACTTCAGCCACCAGACTGTTTTGCCCCAAAAAAGCCATCTGCACAGATGCACCACCCCTGTGAGCTTGCAGGCAGGGCATGCTAAAGGTTCAGCACAACCAATTTAGCACATTAAAGCTATGGTACCTGCAGCACCTCCCACCGGTGGGCAAGGCTGCCTCCAACAGGCACAGATCGAGACCTACAAGTCAGCATCAGCCTCTCCCACCCTAAGGACCAAGGGAGACTTTGCAGATGTCAGCACCCAAGCTCACCTGGGTCTAATTTATCCAACGCTGTTTGGGACATTTTGCACGGTGCCTGAATGCATGCATTCCCCGTCCCCAGGGTGTAGCACTCAGACAGCATCCAGCAAACGGGCCCACAGTGCAACACTGCCACTTAGTGGATTATTCAGCTCGAAAACCCATGGCAATGTCAACTGGGGGAGATGGGGAGGATGCTTTATTTGGGCTGTAACTGCTACAGCTTTGACTTGTTCAGCAATGCTACACAGCATGGGAGCAATAAGAGCAGCACCCATTCAGGAGGCACAAGAGCAACATGGCAGAACACGAAGTAAGGGGAAGGAGGGGAACAAAGAAACTCGCCCTCCTCCATCTGGGCTCGAGGAAAAGGAACCACAGCGAGAGCCAAGAGTGAGAAGGGGAATACCATAGGAAGAGAGCAGTGGAAGGGCCAGGAAACTGCACTGGTGGAGACCAACAGCCAGTGGGTGGGAGAGCGGTAGGCTTGACCCAAGGGTCCCTGAGAGACAGAGACTGGAGCTGGGCTTGGAGAGCACAACTGGAGAATAGGAAGGCGTGCAGTAAAACCATCGCAAGCAGCAGGTATCTCAGCACCTAGGTGGGCTGGAGTGCTGGGGACGAGCAGCCATCAGGCAGCCCCCAGCACAACCCAGCGCTCCCCGTCCCTGCTGCAAAGGAGGAACCTACCGAGAGGGAACGTTTCGCTTTATTGGTTGGAAGATGCAATGGAGGGAGAGGAAGAAAAACAGTCAGCGAAAAGAAAAACAAAGCAGATCAATACAGGCCTGGCTGCTGGTTAAAAATAAATCAACACACCGCAGGGCCGGGAAGAGAAGCCTGGCCCTGCGTCTCTAAAAGCACCATCAGACAGGAACGCAATGCACTTGAGTGCTGCTTTATTGACTTCCTGGCGAGCCGGGCAGACCGCCGGCCCCTCTCCCCGCACTCTCCTGCTGCTGATCCCCCTTGCGCCACGCATGCAAACAGACTGAAACCAGAAGCGAGCATTAGCGGCGAGTGCTGCCATCGGCAGCGCACGCAGTCGATGCCATTAACCCCAGCAGAAGCCCCGGTCGATTGGCCTCACAGTTCAGCGGCCAGTCGCTCGATGCAAACCCCACGAAGATCACAGGGGCCCTCATGTAAACGTTGCTAATCGGGCTCGGTCTTAAACAACGGCACTTGTTTCAAGCAGACTAGACAGCAGCGCCGCATGACGTGCTCGCTGTGTAGCATTACAGAGGGTCCCCGCCACCCCCAGCTCCCCCTGGCTCCAAAGGTTGGATGCTCAGGCCTCTAGATGACCATCAAGTCAGGATCAGAAGTGCTCCAGGTGCTGGAGGGAGTGGACTGGGGGCACGGAGGAATATAGGCACCCCCAGTCATTTTTGGAAGCGCTCTAGGAAGTTACGCCCGAGGCGGGTTGTATGAAGGTATCAATGTGGAAGCAAACCCGCTTTCAGAGCCATTCAGACAACACCGACAGGAGTCTCCTGGGCCGACTCCTCTACCGCTGGGATCAGGACCGTCAAAAGCCACCCCCCTGCAAGGGCTGCCCTGGCCTTATTCCAACTGCCCACCAGAAAGGCGTCTCCACCCGCCCCGGGAGCAGTTCTCGACACTGTGCTGACGCACGCTCTTCTTCTGGGAAGGCAAGAGGGCACGGGAGGCTGCAGGGAGGGAAGGAGCCTGACATCTGGGTTGTCAGCATTCTTCATTTATTTCTCCCACAAGATGCATTAACAATGATTTAAAGCAACAAAACGTCTGAGAGATCAGGAATGACGGAGGATAATCTTGGCCAGCTGGGAGCAAACCCAGGTTGAGAAACTGTCTCCAAAGAGGCAGAATGTAAAATGAGCTCCTATGATTAAAGGGGAGGGAAGAAGAGGGAATAGCTTCCACCGCGGAGCAGCGAAGGGTCAGAACCTTCTCCGCCCAAAGCATGGTCAGATTAAAAGCAATGAAGAGGCTTTTCTCCTGATCCCTTTGGCAGTCCTAGAAACACCCCTGTGCAGAGGACTAATGCAAGCCCTGTTAAGAGGGCTTATGCGGTATTCAGGTATCAGGCTGCCCCTCTATACTGGGGAAGTACGAGGGCTCTTCCTTAATTAACTCGGCCTACCATGCACCAGTAATCTGGTCCCTTGCAGGTGGCATTCATTGTAGGTGCAAGCCCTCCACCCCAATTGCACATCCCGAACACAACAAACACCCCAAACTGCTGCCAGAACGGGCGCTTCCGTCTGGTATTGGAATCATTACAAATATATACTTAAAAAAAATAAAAAAAAATAGGTCCCCTTTACTTCCACCAGAATCATTAAATCATCCACATGTTAAAATACACAATCGTTATTTTCTTGGAATCATCCATTCCAACAAACCCAGGAAAATCAAAGCTTGCCAACTCCCTTGGTCCAACCAGGAACAAGAGCTTAAAGGATAAAAGAAATTAAAAAAAAAAAAAAAAAAAAAAATGCCTTGCTTCAGCTAACGGAAGGCAGATGAGCATGGCGGCAAAATGCTGAGCCACACAGGTTAACTAAGAGGATTGAAGTAAACTGTCTGACTTCAGGGCTCTGCAAATCAAGCTTTAGGGGAAATTAGGTTTGTGCTGGGGGCTGAAGAGTTAAGGGAAATGTCAGCTCCTGTTACAGAGCGCAAAGGTAATGCAGCTGATGAATCAAAATCAACTAGCTGGCGGCATGACCTGCAGGGCAGGAGGGCCTTGGACCATGGCAGCTGACCGTAATGCAGCACACGGGCAAGGAAAAAGTGCTTAAACTGAGCATTAAAGGATAAAAGAGAGCTGAGGTTGGGGCAGGCCGAGATGCTGGCATGCCTCCCTGGGAAGGCATTTCCACAAATACTTTTGCTGCTAAACCTGAAATGCGTCTGCGCCTCCCCAAGGCGTGCAGGGTGGGATGGAGAGGGGTGCCTTGCCTACAGTGGCGAGGTACTAGGCCTCGTGTAGATGAACCCCAAGAGCATGGTGCTCCCAGGACAACAGCTCTCCGCTGCCACGTGGCTGGTACAAAGCCACGCAGTGCTGCTGAAGGAGGAAGAGCTCCTTTCCTAATTGCCAGCTTCTCCCTCTTCAACAAGGAGAAATTGTTGCCAGCTAGAAGCTACCATCCTGTTTCCAGGGCTTCCCTTCCCACAGATGCTTAATGGACACGCCTAACACCGCAGTCTGGCCTCACAGCTGCACCTCCCCAGCCAGGGAACTCCTGCCAGCAGGATGACTCCCCTTGGCTTCCTGTAACAAAGGCACTCCTCCTTCACAAGCGAGGGAGCATGTTAAGGCTTGCAAGACTGTCCTGCCCTCCATTGCCCAAGAGCAGTGTCACCCCACTGGCTGCCCACGCAGGGGTGGAAGCCATGTGCTAAGAAAGCGTGCTGTGAGCAGGATCATTCCAGCCTAGTTCCCACCGTGCTGGCAGAGAGGCGCGCTGCACGTTTGTAATACATTCAAATACTCCCCACCCACCATCACCACAGGACCCACAACAACCTCCAGTGGTACAGATGATTCCCCTGCAGTCCGCTGGGCAGACGGCCTGGTGCAATCCAGAGTCCGAACACCACCGGGGCTATGGCCCTCCCTCAAGGAGCGGTTCCTGTCGAAGCAGAGCTGCCTCAGGTGAAGATCGACAGTCCGCAGGGATCCGGCATCAGCTCCTCCTCAGGGTTATTCCTCCTCTTTGAACATGTCGCAACCGCACAGGGAGCAAGACCCTCTGGCTTGGAGCACGGTGCTCGGCTAATCCTTCTGCGCACGATCACAGCCCTCTGAGTCCAGCAGCTGGGCAGCTATCGAACACTTCTGCGGTGCAGGCGACGCTTGCGGGTCCTTTGGTTTGCTGCTGTTCGCTGACGCGCCGCTGATCTCGCAGCCAGCACACGCTAGTCACTGCTGGTGCTTCAGAGAAACGCTCTCCTAGCCAAGTGCCATCTTTCCCCTTCTCCAAAAGAGGTAACAACCTGTATTGCCATGGCACGATTTCTACCTCCGAGCTGCTGCATAAGCGCTGATAGCAACAGCCAGAACACGGCTGCCCCAGACACACTGGTCCCTGAGCTATCCTCCCAGCTGCCCACACTAACTGAACATAGCACCCATCCCTCAGCAAGCAAGAGGATCCCTCCTGACTGATCGCACTGGTCACAGCCAGGTATAGAGTCTATTAATAAAGAAGTGACCATATACTGACATGGCAAGTGGAAGTACCCAACTCCCCAAGAGTACTTCGGCTCAACTGCCCTACTTAGTAGAGGGTGGGGAATGAATGGAGATGGGATATTGATTGGAATCCCCAAGCCAGGAGACAAGGCTCGAACACTCAGGTCCCATATGTTCAGTCCACCCCAGAGAGTCACGTGTTTGTTATGAAGAGTTTTAAAGCTTTCCCGTGTCTGGTCGCCATGCTGCAGGGCTCCTGTCACTCCACCTTCCCCTACAAGTGGCGCACGGGAGAGGGGGAGACAGGGTTACACTGCCCTGCCCCCAGCGAGAACATTTTGTGCTGTTAATTAGCAGTCATTTTAAGCAGTTAGGACAAAACAACCCCCGAAAATTGGCGAGGCGATCCTGCAGCTGGGCGTGCACCTTCCAGGTCCGTCTGTGCAGAGCGAGCCCTGGGTCCCACATCATCTGGAAAACAGAAGACACCCACACACCAGAATGAGCATTCATGGCTAGACAGAACAGTAGCGTCCTGGGAGAGAGCTGGGAATCAACAGAGCTGCGTGCCTATACATGCAGCTCTCCTCGCCTTTGGAAACACCCTGAAGAAATCAAAAGAACTAATTCTGGGGCGTCAAAGACTGCGCAACGCTAGTGTCTGTCCTGAGGGGAGAAAGGGAGCTAAGTGCAACCTGGCCTGGTTGGGACACAGCTGACTCTTGGCTTCAGACAGATTTTTTGGGGATCTCTGAAGGAAAGGAACACATTGGGTGTGTTGCTGTAGCCCCAAAGTAAGGGCACGCCTGGGCTACCAGACTATCAACTGCTTTCTGTTCAAAGGAGACTACATATCCCCGTGGAAAAGCATTAGATTGCAACTCAGGAGACCTCAGCTCTATTCCCGTTCCTGCCACTGTCCTGCTGGCTGAGCGCTATACCTCAGTTTTTCCGTCTGCAGAGGCGGGGCTGCCCCTTTTGCAAAGTGCTTTGATGCATCCTGACGAACAGCTTCCCACTCAGGGCCGCACACAATACAGATACGAGAAAGCGGCACGTTCTCTAGAAGTGCAACAGCACAGAGCTAGCTTGCAGTGTTAAAAGCCAAGCTTGCCAGCGTTCAGTCAGCAACGCTCCAGCCAGCAGCACTCCAGATAAGAGAACGATCCTTACTGCCAGCGTGTGCTTTATACGCATTAGCTGATCCGACGCAAAGGAGTCCAAGACGTTTGAGATGAGGCAGAGATTCTTTGGTTCTTAGAAGAGCAGAGGGAGGGGCAAAAGGAGTGAACTGCTTGGCACAAAAAGAGATGGGAAGATAATGCAGGGACTTGAGGAGCGTAGGGAACAGGATTTTAGGTCATGCATTGCCAGAGAAAAGCACGCATGCAGTCTGCCCACAACACACATGCCATTTGCCGTTATTCTCACCCTCCCCCTTCATACTGTGGAACCAGGGACAGGGAGAAACCCTACAGCGCTGCCTGCCCCTTACATAGGAAACCGATCACGCAGCTCCTCAGACTCCCCCAAACGCTGCCCACACTTCTCTCTGTTACCTTCCCTGCCTGTCACTGCACGCTCCATACGCCTGGACCTAAAACGAAGGCATGTATGCACCCCAATCCCACCCAATTCTTTGCTGAGGACTACTTGAGAACACATCCAAGTGTCCGCGTGCCTCTGTGTTAGTTCTGAGTTGTAGTCACTCGGACCCTTACGCTACCACCTCCACTGCACTGGGTTTGTGCGACACAGATCACCATTGTGCTGTACCATGCGCACGCTGCAAGTAGTCACATAATAATACTATTATAGCACGGAGTTGGGACTTGAGGCACGATCAGACAAGGCCATAGCAATTATGAGGTTAGAAATAAATTTAAGATGGAGACTCCTACCTCTTACAGGAAATCCTAATGAGTTTCAGAGAGGATTTAAAATGTCTTCACCGTTTGTATAGCACTCAGTCTCATAACGAAGGCAGACTAATCTACTGCACTGGGGGAAGGCCTGGTCACCTGGCTTTCACCCCAGCACCAGGCTGCCACGCTGATGCTAACACAGTAGGAGAAACCCTCGCTTTAACAAAATAAACACGTGCTAAACTTTTCTCCAGGATGAAATATTGTAAATGTGGTTAAATATTTATAGCTCTGACTGGGTAATATTTATAAATAAGCCAGTGTTGCATATAGGAACATAAGCATGAATATGTATTTGTAAGTAGTATGTATGGTGTGCATCTGTAAATAGTGTGCATTTGTAAGTAGTACGTATAGTATGTATATGTAAATAGTGCACACTTCTCGGCCTCTTGAAGGCTCAGACCAAGTGCTGATCTCGGATTTCGTTAAAAATCGATGAATCAAAACAAACAGACAAAACGTCCCCGTGCAGAAAGACCCGGACGCGCAGCCCAGCATCCCAAGCAAGACGAGCCACAAAGCAGAGTTTGCCCCGGACCGTAACAAAGACGAAGGGCGCCTCAAAGCCCACCCGGCAGCGAGACCCGCAGAGCCGCGCGCCCGCCCGCGGAGGCCAAGCTTCACCTGATCGGCTCCAATGGCCGGGTCTGCACCAAAGCGTCTCGCATCTCTAAAAAGGGACATTTATAGCAACTCACAAGGAAACAGAATAACCCACCCCCCCCCCCCCCCGAAAAAAGTCTCCCCACCGCCTCAGATTTCGCGTCTCAAACACCGTGTCCTCGTCGCTGTCGAGCGACGTCATCTCCACGTGCTCGTCGTAGTTGGAAAGCAGGCCGTATTTCTTCCTCTGAGGTTTCCTCAACCTGAAATCAGTGGGGAAGGCATTGGCGTCCGACCCCGGCGCACCCACCCGGTGTAAAGGGTTGGAGACGGAGACGGGGGAAGGAAGCGTGGGGTGGTTTTATGAGCTCTCCCAGGTCTGACACGGCGCGATTCAAGGCGCACCCCCGCCCCACGCGTGTCTGGGAAGCCTTGCCCCCCGGGCGCGGGGCCCCCCCTCACCTGAGCGCGCGCACCAGGAAGTAGAGCGCGGCGAGCGCGCACAGGCCGCTCAGCACGTAGAAGGCGCGGTGCACCACGGACACGTTGAGGCCGCCCGGG